ACCCAAACTAGTCTAGCCTAACCTGAACCAATTTTTAATTAATCTATTTAATTAAATTCGATCTGTGAATTAATTAATTCGGGCCTATAAAAAAGCAACCCAATTAATTAATTTATCCATGTTAAATTAATTAATTGACAAATCACGATCTTCTAGTTCTCCTTCTGTGTTCCTCCCATCAGGTTCCCGATCCCGATGCCTAAAGACGTGAAATATTATTTTGATCTAGTCAAAATGGATAAATTAAAACACCTTTTTAATTTATCATCAATTCATACTCATCGTCACAGATTGACATCTAACAATATGTCAGGGCAATACATGTGATGAGAAATGTCAAGTGGTATGATAAAATTAAACTCGTTCGTTTAGCATAAAACTATAATCCCTTCGTTAATATAATCCAATCAATTACGAGATATGGAAGTGTGTTAATCTCGATTATCGATTATATCTTTCATACTAATACTAAGTCAATATAAGTCGAAAACTCCTTTTCGACTTTTGAGTACACATTGGTCAAGGATTTCGCTATCGACTTAATTCAATGAAATGTAGATCATAATCTCTTACTATCTAAGAGTGATTAATCCTCTATTGATCATTCACAACCTTCATATGATTCTTGACATACCCGAGTGATGCCATATTAGCGGCCCTTGGCAGAACAACATTCAACACCGTCAAAGCATGACTGTCCTCATATAAGAGACTATGATGACCTCAAGTCAAATGACTAATCCTATTATCGAACGTTAGAGATTAATCACTGACACTAAGATAGTAATCCATGTGGAATTTCTCGACGGGTCTCCAATATTTTGTTCTATAACAAAACATCCACGTGTTCATTCAAGTGTCACCACACTTTAGTTTGTGAGATCAACTACTTATTTCATAAGTAAAAAATACAACACATGATGATCTATCCATAATAACGATATTCATATCTCGTCATTACTTATGACCACGGATGATTTAATATTCAATTATATGTAATTTGTATCTCACAATCACAACTGCTTGTGATTAACAAATTACTAAGATTTGAATATATGGACTCCATTATTTAATTTAATTGAATATTAATTAAATAATATATCTGCCATAAATCGCATCAACTATATATTAAAAGTGTTCTTGTCCAAAGTCGATTGGACCTAGAGCATATCACTTACACTATCCTCTTTCCAACTAATTGTTGTTAGATCTAATTATTTGCCTATGGGGAAAAAAAGGCATAAATGTCCAAGAAATGTATGTGGTAAACAAATTTAATCACAATATATGGATTTCACATTCTCTTTAGGGCATCTCCAATCTTACACCATTACAACATAATTCACCAAATTGCACCAAATATTTAGTGCAAATCTCCTTCAATCCACTGCACCATTTTGGTGCAAAAATGGTGCAAAATGGTTAAATACCAATTTGTCCTTCTCTTTCAATTTGAAAAGAAAAATAACGATATTTATGTCCATATTATTATCGTCGTCGTCATCATCATCATCATCATTATTATTATTATGTGCATTTGCAATAAATTTCAAGAATGTAATTTATAATAATTTTAAAAAATAGAATTAAAATAAAAGTACTCAAGAAGTTTTAAAATGTAACAAACACAATTATATAAAGTTAAGATGAAAATGACACAACAATCACAAATATACGTTAATTTAAACTTATTAATGAATTCAATATTTTCGTTAATTTAACGTAATTATTTATTTAATAAAATATGTAGTTGTAAAATAAACAAATAAATAAATTGTTAAGAATCAAAAAGGAGAAAAATGATTAAACACTATTCATTTGGTGCATATTTCGGTATAATGGGTTGGAGATGATTAAGTTTGGTGCAAGATTTGATGCAAAAGGTGCAAAACTTTCTTCAAATTTTGGTGCAGAGATGGAGATAGCCTTATGCTCCATTTTTCTCTCAGGACCAGCAGTAGCAATGCAATGTTTTACTTTGTTCACTTTTTTCGTATCGTGCATCAATAAGGGCAGATAATGGACTATGGACATTGAAAGTTGACGAAGGCATTATCTTCATTTTCTTTGTTATTTGCCTTAGGATTGGAGAATTCTCTCTAGTTTTGACAAAGAAAGTAAAAATTAAAGAGTTAAATAATGGTTATTACAAAGATATGTAAACACCAAATTAGATCATTCTTATATGATAAATCAAAACCTAGCGCACTTGTTGAGAGGCCATAAGCCAAAGCCTCATTGAAGTCATTAGTTTAAGCACTAGATTATGAGGTCTTGATAAGGTAACTCTTTAGTTTTGAGAAAAAAGTTCCTTAATTATGTCCTGTGCATCTTGCTCAGATATATTACACAACTGCACACTACCATCTGACCAACTTACAAAGTGAGCATTGCTTGCAACCTATACGTGCAGATTTAATTTGTAAAATTTTAGAATCATGACATTGAGAAGATATGATTTTTTTTTTCTAAAAATTCTTATAACATGGTTTAAAAAAACAACAAAACAATTAGGAACTCAAAATCATTAATAAATGGTTCAAATAAGCTAACATAATTTCAAAAAAAAAAATTTCGAGGGGTAATCTCTTTACCTACACACTGAGTCCACTTAAAATATTTGAGACATTATTTTAACTCTGATCTTCTAAGCATCTATTCTATCATCCAAAGCTAAAAGTCATCATACAGACTATCAAAAGATGGAAGATATGTTTGGAGTGATCAATTTCAATTATGTATTTAGATTTGAATATAGTAACTGGATTTCATAGTTTATCATTTTTGCTTTATCAAACATGAAATCCCTTTTGATCCAAATAGAGTTGTAAGCACAAGTCTTCAATGTACCTTCTAGGATTTCAACTACATTGAGGTACGAATTTCTCACACTTCGAGGATTTCTTTCCATCTCATCGTGTCTTAAAACGTAATTTTTTACCAATCTTGGGTCTCGGATTGATCTATAACTATTAATTTATGAGTATAAGGTGATTGTGTACATAAGATACCATGATGCGCATGTTATATATAAATAAACTATATTTTATATCTTCAATTATTATTTGTTTACTGGCTTGTTTAAATTAGAATGATTTTTATATATCAAGACATGCAAAAAAAGTGTTCAATTGATGCAATCCAAAGAGGTCACCCAGTCAGTCAAGATTGATTGGGTGTTATAGGTAAACAGGTTTCTTGACTGTGGATTTTAGGGTTTACATGCCCTGAATGAGATGCAATCTTTACCTTCCACATAAATATATAATTACCATTTTGGATTGGTTTGATTGGTCAAATAATTAAAAGAAGAAAATATTGTTTTAATTAATCAAAACTTTTCTTAATTTAATTATTAACAATATCAAACATATTCTACATTATTCTTACCGTATATGACTGCCATATTTTAGGGAAGAGAATTTCTTATCTTGAAGGAGTCTTTACATAAGTAAAGAAAATATTAAGGAACGAACCAATGCTTTGAGAAAAATCAGCCTTTGCTTGGTGAATTTGCAGCAGTAAATTCTATGTTTTCTAACCGTCTCCAGTGAAGTGAGTTCTGATGTTCAATTGAAGTATCTCAAAGCAAAATTCATGTTTTCCAATCATACTTCAAGAAAACACACTTGAGCCTGAAAGATATAATCTTACTCAAAGATTAGGCTACTTGGTGTGAGTTAAGATTTGCCAATCTTAATCCAAGTAGTGGTTGGTGCTGAATATAATAGTGAAGTAGTGACAAAGTCAATATAAGAGAGTTTGATTCCACTTTCCCAACAAGTTAAAAGAAGAAAGAAAATGAGGGAGTCGTTCTTTATTTACTTTTGATAGTTTTTGTTAATTTTGCAAAATTACAAAATCGAAGCTATTGCATATTTATTCTTTGATAGTGAATTATTTTACCCATGGCATGGGGCCCATGGATGTTTTCCTTTAAGGATACCATGTTATATCCTATGTTCAATCTTATTTATTTTCTCCAATTACTTGCATCTTGTGGAACACTAGTTTGTTAAGCTATGCTAGTCAAAACAAATGTTTAAAACAACATGTAGAAAGTTCTAACTTACTCTGAAACAAATAATTGAGACAGGTTGTTAAATTAACTAGGTTTTAGTATTCATAATTAATATTAGAGTGACACTTTTGCAAAGTGAGATCTGCCTTATACCTAGAAATGGATGGATCACCGTTTTGACCTCCTGTCTTAGATGGGACTAATTATTTGTATTGGAAAATTAGAAAGCAACTCTAAGTCCAATTTTTAGATGAGAAAACATGGCACTCAATCATGTATGGCTATAAAACTCCCACCATGATTGAAAAGGGTGTAGAAAGAAAGAAATGAGCATATGAATGGGTGACTATGGTTTTAATAGTGCTAGCTGAAATTCTAAAGCTCTAAATGCTATTTTCTCATTCATCATTGCTAATCAATTTCATTTGATTTCAACATGTATAGTGGCTAAAGAGTTTTTGGACATATTGCAAAGTTGCCTATAAGGAACCTCAATTGTAAAGTCCTCTAAACTTCAATTGTTGACATTTGAATTTGAGCAATTAACCATGAGAGATGATGAGCACTTCAAAGATTTCTATGCAAAACTAAATGACATCACCAACTCAGCCTACACTTCGAGAAAGAACTACTCAAAAAGTAAAATTGTGAAAAAATTCTCAAATCATTGCCTGATAGGTTCCAATCCGAGGTAACCACTATCATTAAAGTGGAAGAATAGGTAGGATACTTGATGAGCTATGAGCTACATCTTTACGGAAGAAAGAAGAAAAGAGGATCAGGAACCGCCTTTAAAGCCAAGAAGATAGAGATAGAGGAAGAAGATGATGGAAGTGAGAATGAGGACCAAATGGCCATGCTCACTAAACAATTGAAGAAATTTTTGAAAAACAACAAGAAAGGAAGAAGCTCAAAAACTTAACCACCCCAAAAGAAGAAGATATTCGGTAACTCTAGGCAAAGCCCTACCTCATCTATGGAAAAGAGACAAAATCGTGTTCAATTTCATGAATGCAAAGGGTCGAGGAACATAATGGCTGAGTGTACAAGCACCTTAAAGAGGTTCCGAGGTAAGAAAGCTATGAACATAACCTGGAGCGAATATAAAGATAAAGAGTCAAACTCAAATGAGGATGATAAAACTGACGACAACCAGGTAATATCTCCAATTGCCAACCTTTTGTTTGATGATAATATGTTGTATCTGTCACCTGCAAGTCAAAACCTATTGAATGCAGATTCAGCTAGAACCACCAATGCATGTTCATAATGCAAAACTATGAGAAGATATTCAGAAACTGAACATGAAAAAATGTTACCTTTTTGGCAGTGATGGCATAATTGAAAAAGAAAGAGCCTTGTTCAAAATGATAAATGAGAAGGAAAAACAACTGCTGGAACTTCAAGTTGAATTAAATCATGCCAAGGAAAAGAGTTAAATAGCTGACAATTGGATCTGCGCACCTTAAAGAAGTAATTAGCTATGGTAGAACATCAAATGATAAAGTAGGTCTGGCATATAAAGGAAAAAGAAAGGAGAAAGAAATGACTAAAGTGATGTATATTAAAGAGACAATGGTATTTGAAAAAATTGCTAAGTCAGCCGTTTGAAACTGTTGCCAAAATGACAGACAAACTTGCCACCAGTAGGACATTACCATTGACAAACACTCGATAGCGGGTTCAGACTCCTCAAAAAACTTGGTTTAGATCACAAGATCAGGTAAACAGATAAAATTTCAGACAAGCAAGTCGTTGTACAAGATCAGATGTAATGTTTGTGATCAATATGGACACAATGCACATCACTGTTTAACACATAGAAAATTAAATCACATTAAGAAAGTTAACTTGCTAACTGACACCTTCTAGAATAAGGCAAGTTTGGATATATAAAAGTGTTAGCTGTTATGTTGTAAATGTTGCTTATAATTCTATTATATCTAATTCCTGGTACTTTTAACAGTGGCTGTTCGAGAAACATGATTAGTAATCGGTCTATGTTAACAATTTTCAAAAGTTTTGCAAGAAGAATGGTTACTTTCGGGGATGGTGCTCAAAGTAAAATTGACAGGATTGGTACAATTAAGATAAAAGGATCTCCTGTGTTGGAAAATGTGCCTCTTGTTATTGATTTAAAAGCTAATCTAATTAGTGTAGGTTAGTTGTATGATGATGAACTCATGGTTATGTATACAAAAAGCATGTGTAAGGCAATGAAAAATGAAGGTAGTTATGTTCTACATGGTAGCGAGTCTAGTGATAAATTTTATTTGCTAGAATCTAATATTGCATATTACGCATCCAATGTTGACAATACAGACCTATGGCACAAACGACTGGGACATTTGAACTATACAGATCTAGTTAAACTCACTAAACTTGATGATGTAAGAGGAATCCCTAAGCTTATAGGAAGACCTGAAGGTTTGTGTGGTTCATGTCAAAAAGGTTAGAAGCCTATAACACCTGACCTACAAGGTTAGTTTCTTGCTATCTCTTACTATTACTTCATATGGATTTAATAGAGCCAATTCAAATAGAAAGTGTCGGTAGTAAAAGGTATATCTTTGTTATGGTCGATAATTTCTGGAGATTTACTTGAGTAGAATTTCTAAGGGAGAAATATAATGCATATGAAAGATTTGCTCACTTATATAAAAATTTGACTATTGAAAAACACTAAGAGACATTAAAATTGTAAGGACTAGGAGTGACATGGTAAGGAGTTTGAGAATGCTAGTTTTTCTAACTTTTGTGAAAAGCATCGTATTTTTCATGAATTTTTTGCTCCTAAAATTCAGGAAAAAAATAGTGTAGTTGAGAGGAAAAATAGATCTTTACAGGAAATGGCTAGAGTAATGCTAAATAGTGGGCTGAGGCAATTAATAATGCTTGCTACATGCTGAACAATGTTTCCTTGGGAACAAGCACTAAACAAAAGCCCTATGAAATCTAGAAGGGTAGGAAACTTAATATTCACTATTTTCACTACTTTGAAGTGTTATATTGAATAATAGGTATCACATAGGAAAATCTGACCCTAAGAGTGATGAAAGAGTATTCATTGGGTATTTAGAAAATAGTCGGGCCTATAAAGCATATAACATGAGTACTCAAACTATTACTTAATCTATTAATATTAAATTGATATTGCTAATGATTACTCCTCTTACTCACATGAACCTAAGATTAGAAACTTGGATGAATAAACTGAAATTACTCAGAATAATTAGGAAAATAGTACAATAAATCTTGAAGAAAAAAGCCAGATGGAAAACTTCCTATAACCGGTCTAGCAAATCCGAAATGGATACTGTAGGTTGGGATTCACTCGAAGAAGATAGTGAATAACAAGGAAGGAGACAACCATCTACCTGGATTCAGAAAGCACATCCTCTCAATAACGTACTTTCTTATCGTGGCAATGAAATGGTAACCAGAAGGATACTTGCCATCGAACTCAAAAACATGTGCCACATGTCTCACATTGAACCAAAGAATGCGACTGAAGCTCTAAATGATGAATCATGAGTATTAGTAATGCAAGAAGAATTGGCTCAATTCAAACGAAACAACGTCTAGGAGTTAGTAGCATGGCAAACAAATGTAAATATCATTGTCACTAAATTGATCTTCAAAGGTAATTTGATGAGCATGCAAACATTGTCTGAAATAAGGCACGATTGGTAGCACAAGGGTATACACAAATTGAAGTAGTAGACTTCAAAAAGACTTTTGCTCCTGTGGCTAGATTTGAATCTATTAGGATGTTACTGTCTATAGCATGCCAATGTCAGGCAACCAAAAGGATTCAGTTATCCACATCTACCAAAATACATGTTCAAGCTTAAAAAGGCATTATATAAAACAAGCTCTCCAAGCTTAGTATGAAAGGCTTACCAGGGGGAAGCTTGGTATGAAAGGCTTACCATGTTCCTATTTGAGAAGGGATACAAGAAAGTAAAAATCGATAAAATACTATTTATTAGACACCTAAAGATTGATCTAATTATAGCTCTTATCTATGTGGATGGCACTGTATTTGGATCCACATCTGATGCAAAATCCAGGGAGTTTGTCAATCTTATGCAATGTGGATTCAAAATGAGTATGGCTAGTGGGTATGTAGGTTAAGCATGTATATGTAGGAATCTTCATCTCGTAGGCCAAGTAAGCAAATAATTTGGTCAACAAATTCGATCTTGAAAGCATCAAGTCAGTTAGGACTCCCATGGCCACGTCCTTAAAACTTAGCAGATATGACCAAGGAAATAACGCCAACACTAGCCTATACTGGATCATGATTAGTAGTCTTTATATCTGAGTGCAAGTCCTCTTGATATTTGGTCAACAAATTCGATCTTGAAAGCATCAAGTCAGTTAGGACTCCCATGGCCACGTCCTTAAAACTTAGCAGATATGACCAAGGAAATAACGCCAACACTAGCCTATACTGGATCATGATTAGTAGTCTTTATATCTGAGTGCAAGTCCTCTTGATATTTGGTCAACAAATTCGATCTTGAAAGCATCAAGTCAGTTAGGACTCCCATGGCCACGTCCTTAAAACTTAGCAGATATGACCAAGGAAATAACGCCAACACTAGCCTATACTGGATCATGATTAGTAGTCTTTATATCTGAGTGCAAGTCCTCTTGATATAGCTTTCAATATTAGAGTTTGTGCTAGATTCAAGATAAACCAAAGGAGTTTCACATGGTAGTTGTTATATGAGTCATTAGATACATTAATAGCATATCTAATTTTATTTACGGTACACTAAAGACTTTCTCTCTCATCTTGCAGGATATACAGACACTAATCGGGTAGGAAACATAGATGACAGGAAAAGCACATCTGGAGGGTATTTCTACATGGGCAACAAAGAAACAAAACTCTATTTCCTTGTCCACTGCGAAAGCTGAGTACATCACTGTTGGTAGCTTCTGCACACAGCTATTCTGGATGAAGCATATGCTCAATGACTATAGTATTGAGCAAGATTCCCTTACAATGTTTTGTGATAATACAGGTGCTACAAACATCTCTAAAAATCATGTCCATCATTCTAGAACTAAGCACAATAATATTCAACATCATTTCATCAAAGACTTAGTTGAAAGAAAGATTGTTGTCCTAGAACACATACCCACTAAAACGACAACTAACTGATTTACTTACTGAGGCTTTAGATACTATTAAATTTTAAACTTCGAGAATAGTCGTAGGCATATGAATGATGCATGAGTACTTGTGTTATTGTACATATTTTTTGTTTTGTTTTTACTTTGTGTGTGCACTTAGTAAGCTTGTGCTTTGCATTTATGTACAAGAAACAAAAATAAGGCTTTACTTGCAAATATCACATGATGTATATATTTGGTTGGTTCGAAATTATTGAGATAAATTGGAATATCCAATCGACGTAGTGTGATCTCTCTATCCTATGGTAATATATGGTAAGGTAAGTACATCACTAGGACATTATGACAACATTGTTGTGACCATTTACTAACTGGGTAGACATTTAAAGATGGCATGTGTTTAAGTATAGACCTACAATCAGTATCTCTGTCTCTGTGCATTGCTATATGATGTTGTGTAAACAGATAAGTTCATTGGAGGAGAGGGCTACCACCATAGACATATGAAGTTGTCATTGATAATGAACATAAATTATGAGAGAAAAGCCATTCTATGGCTGTGTGAAAGTCAACTCCATGAATTGAAAAGATTGTGAGTAAAAAGTATATAGAAAAAGTTATCACGGGAACATGCAAAACAAATAAAAAGTTGTATAGATTCTATAGTTTGGCATACAAATATTTTTATTTAGAGATGCATTATTAGATGATAGCTGGTTTGAAACACACTTTAACATGTAGTCATTGGAAATGTTACATCTGGTTGTGATATGGTTCATAATTAATGATGCCTAAAGTGTCCCGTCATACACTCACATTTTAATATGCTAAATTAATTGTGAGCAAACATCTGATTTGTAATTTCTTGATTATCCTAATGACTTTGGACTAAATGTGAAATAACTTATGTGTAAAATTTGTTCTTAAAAATACTTCAATTAAGTGATTTTTGGCACAGTTTATTATTTGTGCATAAAGGTCATGTGTGGAATCTTTCACAAATTTTCAATCGACAGCCTAAACCTAGTAGTTAAATCTTGCATGCATAAAATAGAAAGATATTAAGATTACCAGATTTGGAAAATTATTCTTAATGTAATATGGAAAGTTAACTTGCCTTAAGTTACTATTAGGTGTTAACTTTGTTGGGGATAATTAAAAATTGAGTTGTATTAAATTAGATTGGAAATTCAAATTTTAAATATGGAAGGCATACAAATTGCCATGTTGATGTAGGGGTTTGTATGTAATTAACTGCCTTTTCAGTTTTGAAAAATAATCCTCCATGGACGGCCATCTTTGCAATTACCAAATTGCAACTTATAAAAGTTATTTTTCCCATTTTAAATCTAATCTAGGGCATGACTTCTCTGATTCTCCATTCTTTCTCATATCAGACACACATCTACACTTGATTTTTGTTGTATTTGAGCATTTTCTTTAGAAATTGATGGCAAAAACTAAGGGAAATGTAGGAAAAACCAGTAAGGGAGAATCGTCTGCAGCAACGTTTACTCCCAAAGGTTTGAAGTAAATGACAGAGATGAACGATTATGCGCAATCTAGTTTTGAAGGAAAGAGGTGGCCATTGTACTTGCTACACAAAAAGAGGCCTCTGTGCCAGAAAGCCTAGAAGAAATTACACTGTCGGTTACTACACATAAAATATGCCATTGAAGCGAGCTCGTATCATGCCCTGGTAGGCAAGTTCAAATACCATTAGCCATACTCTAAACCATTTGAGGTGAGTAAAGTTGATGTTAAGAACATTAATGAGGAGATGGACCACTATCAATGGGTCTGGAGATATGGAGGTCAGTCCAATGTATTGGCTAAAAATATAGCACCTGAGTCTAAGAATATACAAACCACTACACCTACTGGAGAGGAATCCCAACACAGTTTGATCCTTCTGCTAACGTAACATGACCCACCTAGATCACCCTAATGAACCCGACATGTGTCGTGCACCAATGGTAGATACCAGCTAAGTGTCAGACCTACTACTAAGGCAACCTTGACTTGCTTTGACTGTCACAAATTTTTAAAAGAAATTCGATAGAGTGCCCTTTAAAATATGGACTAAAACCACATGAATGATAATCAATTTTCTCAAACCTGTACATATAATTTAAAATAAGGTACACCAACCTCCCAAAACACAACTATTCAAAATATAGTTTACTAGAATGATATTTAAACTCCTTTACAAGCCAAAAGACTCCAAATGTACAACATTTACAAAAATGTAGAGAGCCCATGATATGGATACATGAATTACAAATTAACTTTTATGATAACATATGTATGTATTACAAAATAATAATAAAACTATATAAACTAACAAAACAAATCATCCAACTAATGATAATGTGTGACTCAACTTGGTAGATTAACAGGCTCCAACGCTGCTCAACTCAACTAGTATTTGATAAGGAAAAAATGGATGACAAAATATATGAGCTTGTAACTCAGTGAATGAACAATTCGCAAATAAGTACACTTTTTTCTATTTATATAAGCTTTTTGAAAATACTTGTGCCATTAAAACTTTAAGAAAGTCTAAAATCTAATAATACTTTTAAGATTAAAACATAAAGGAATCATAAAATTCTTTACTATTTATTCTGAATAAATCACTGTAAGGTATAAAAGATATAATAAATTTGTCATCCATATTATGAGTAAAAAAAATCTTTTCACAATACAATAAATTGAAATCTTTATTCTTCAAACCGATTAAACTAAATTCTGTAATTTGAAATCTGATAAGTTGTATATATTACTGAAAATCACACAAAAAATGTACCTGGAATAACCATATTCATGTACCAATTAATCTAGATCTGCATGACAAGGCTATTAAGTTCTAAAATTCTGCAATACTGTCATACAGGCACAAAGCTACCCAAATGTCATAATCTAGTCATACATTATGAAAATACATTCACAATACTGCAGAGAAGGTAAAATCACCATAACCGCTCTTACACTGTCGAAACACATTCACACCAATGCAGACTAGGGTAAAATCACCTGATTACTTTCTGGTGGTTTTAAAAATAACTTTAAATAAGCTGAATTTAGTTTTAAAAAGAACTGATTATAAAATCTACTTATTCTTAAAATCATGCTATCAAAATAACTATATAAACTAATTCATTTTCTAATCTAATATAAAATATAATAAATACTTATTTCTGAAAAATAAGTTGTCAATGTAATGTCATAATCCCAATTAGGGTCACTAATAACATATCCACATTTATATAAATTATTTTAACACTTAATCTCCAATATTTAACACTTAATTTTGTTTTCATATTAAAAAATCCAAGAAAATCAAAAGATTTTCAAAAACGACACTCTACTTCCAGAATATTGAAATCTGGCACCAAATTCTATTTATGGAAAGCTGTCTCCAAAGTTTTTGACCAAAAAGCACTTTCTGGGTAGAATTTCAAAAATAGCACCCATGTTTCACAATTTTTTGAAAATTACTTGAAATTTCTTTAAAAATGAATAAATCAAACCTCAAATTCTTAAATTAAGTGTGTAACACCA